GGGAGGGAGGGAGGGAGGAAGGGAGGGAGAAAAGCAAGAAAAAATACAACAAGTACCACACACTGGTAAAGAACTGAACATATCTGCTGTTCTTTGGCAACTAAGCCAAGTGCAACGGCTAGAAGAAAGCAATCACTGACAGGTTTTCACAATCTCACATTTAATTCTCCACTTTCCTGAGCAGCAGCACAGCCTGGAGAAGTGTCACTGAAGACAGAAAAACACTGCAGGAGTTGACCACAAATCACATGGTACACACTTTAGGGAACTGCAAGAATCCTGTATAAAAGTGTGTGTTTCTAACCACCACAATGAAGATATCACAAACGTGGAATGATTTATTTTTTCCGAAGGTCTTAGGTCTTCTAACATCATGACCGTGCTGCACACTAAACAATACCAGAGTCGTAACAAATACCAACTATGCCAATTACAGAATTTGGAAGGAAATGGAGAACGTGTTCTATTTTTCAGGTGCTCGGTTTCAGACCAATTAAAGCCCCCCAGTCACTGACACTGTCTTTCTTAAAAGCGTGAAGGGCTCTGGCCTTTTAACATTAATGCTTCTGGCTGGTGCCTGTGTCTGTGTGAAGCAAGCCTCCAAGCTCCTGGATTCAGGGCTCCTGGTGACCCAGCGCCAGCGGTAGGAGCTCCTGGCAGGGAGAAGAGGGAAAGGGGTGGCTCTCTCCCAACCCTCCCACAGCAAGCAGGGTAGGAACCGCGGCACCTGAGCAGGATGCCCGCGACCCCTGTGCAGCTGTGACCAGGCACCAGTGCTGGGGGCACACGCAGTCCACTGCATTCCTTGATTAGAAGACCCAGGATACTAAAGATGCCAACTCTCCCCAAATCGATACACAGGCTTAATGCAATTCCAGCTACATCACAGAAAGATGCCAGTTACAGAAGGGGGGAAGGCTAGGCCTCTGGTGATAGTGTTACAGGAGGTGAATCCTCTGCCAACTATTGGCTGGTTTCTAAGCAAAAAGTCTGTAGGCCAAGAGTGGCACAAAATATTCAAAGTGCTGAAAGGAAAAAACTTACAACCAAACATACCTAGCAAGCTTACCATTCAGAATTGAAGGAGAGATCAAAGAGTTTCCCAGACAAACTAAAGCTAAAGGAGTTCATCACCGCTAAACCAGCTCTACAAGAAGCATTAAAGGGAATTCTTTAAGCAGAAAATAAAAGGCCAAAACTAGAAAGAAGAAAATACCTGAAAGAAAAATCTCTCATTAGTAAGGCAAAACATACAGAAAAGGAAGTAGATCGACCAGGACAAAGCTGGTATGAGGGTTAAAAGACATAAGTACTAAAATCAACAAAATCTCCAATAATTAGTTAAGGGTCTCATTAAATAAAAAGGCATAAAATAGATGTCAAAAACATAAAACGTGTGGGTGTGAGCACATGAAGGTGATAAGGTGACTAAAGATGTAGTGCCTGTAGAATGCATGCCTACTTAAATGACCACCAACTCAAAACAGACTGCAATATATGCATGTTATTATATATAAATCTCATGGCGACCACAAACCAAACCCTTACCACACAAATAGAAGTCCAAACATAACACTAAATAATCAAATACAAGGGAAGAGAGTAATAGAAAAAAAAGGAACAGGAACTACAAAAACAAGAAAACAATTTTTAAAATGGCAATAAATACATACCTATCGATAATTACTTTAAATGTAAAGACTCCAATCAAAATGCTCCAATCAAAACAGGTAGGGTGGCTGAATAGATTAAAAAAAAAAAAAAAGGCCTATGTAAATATTCCCTACAAGAGACTTACTTCCAATCTAAAGACACATACAGACTAAAAGTGGAGTAATGGTTGGGAATGCAAGCTGGTGCAGCCACTCTGGAAAACAGTATAGAGGTTCCTCAAAAAACTAAAAATAGAACTACCCTAGGACCCAGCAATTGCACTACTAGGCATTTATCCACGGGATACAGGTGTGCTGGTTCGAAGGGACACATGCACCCCCATGTTTATAGCAGCACTATCAACAATAGCCAAAGTATGGAAAGACCCAAATGTCCATCAATGGATGAATGGATAAAGAAGATGTGGTATATATGTACAATGGAGTATTACTCGGCAATCAAAAAGAATGAAATCTTGCCATTTGCAACTACGTGGATGGAACTGGAGGGTGTTATGCTAAGTGAAATTAGAGAAAGACAAAAATCATATGACTTCACTCATATGAGGACTTTTAAGAGACAAAACAGATGAACATAAGGGAAGGGAAACAAAAATAATATAAAAACAGGGAGGGGGATAAAACAGAAGAGACTCATAAATATGGAGAACAAACTGAGGGTTTACTGGAGGGGTTGTGGGAGGGGGGACGGGCTAAATGGGTAAAGGACATTAAGGAATCTCCTCCTGAAATCATTGTTGCACTGTATGCTAATTTGGATGTAAATTTTAACAAATAAAAAATAAAATAAATAAATAAATAAATAAATAAAAGTGGAGTAATGGAAAAAGATATTCTATCCAAACAGAACAAAATAAAAGCTGGGGTAGCAACACCTGTATCAGGGAACATACGCTTTAAAACAAAAGCTGTAATAAGAGACAAAGAAGGACACTACACAATGTTAAAGGGATCACTCCAACAAGAAGAAAATATTTGGAAACATTTATGCAGCCAACAAAGGAGCACCTGAATATATAAAGCAAATAGTAACAGATGCAAAGGAAGAAACTGACAATAATAAACAACAGGGAACTTTTAAGGCCCCACTTACACAACAGAGAGATCATCCACACATAATAGTAGTAAGGAAACACTGTCCCTAAAAGACACATTAGACCAGATGGACTTAACAGATATATAAAGAACAATCCATCCAAATACAGAATACACATTCTTCTCAAGTGCACACAGGACTGTCTCCAGGATAAATCACAGGACAAAGGCTCAATAAATTTAAGACTGAATTCATTTCAAGCATCTTGTCTAACCACCAGAAAATAAAACTAGAAATCAACTACAAGAAGAAAATGGAGAAAAAACAAAATGTG